GCTAGACAGTTTGGGAAGATGTACCGTCGGTTCAAAAATAACAGGAACAAACAAGGTAAAAATAACTTTCAATCTTTTAATAACCAAGGTTGTTTTGTTTGTGGTTCCTTTGAGCACAGGGCAAAAGACTGCCCACAAAAGATGAATGACCGAACCTATGACAAGAACAAGTTCAGTTCTAACCGGAGGTCCATCAAAGACAAAGGGTTCAAAAGAGATCTCAACAAGGCAATGATGGCAGCCTGGGGAGACTCATCCGATGACGAAGAAGAGGAGAGTGATAAGAACTCTAACCATACGGGTCTATGTCTTATGGCTAATTCCGATGAGGAATCTGACCAAGAGAGTTTTGAGGTAAATTTGGAAAATTTTCTATCTAAGTTTGACTCTCTTTCCAAAGGCACGGTTCGGACATTTTTTAAAAGACTGACTATCGAGATTAATCAAAATCTTTCTGAAAATGACCATCTTAAATAAAAAATCACTGAACTTGAGTCTAAACTCGAGGAAGCCACTAGAGCCCAAGTAAGGCTTGAAACAAAAGTGGGGGAGTTGATTGATGAAAGACTTAAGTACAGTGAAGTAGTTTTGGAACAAGACCAAATGATTTGCTCCTTAAAGCTCGATAGCATGAACCAACAAGTTAAGGAGGACGAAAAACTATTAAGAAAAATTCCGAACATTGGCTTACTCATTAATCATCTTAATCGTCTTGAGTCCGAGAGACAAGATTTTAAAAATAGACCGGAGAATCAACCCTACAGTGCCAAGAACAATACCAGGTCTAGACCCTATTCTAGAACTGGGGCCCCTCGGCACAATAAAAAGGGAAACGAGACTGCAGGTCTCTGATATATTCCTAGGGATACTCAATCTAATCAAAAACCTGGTTTTTGGAACCAACCCGGTAATGGGAATAGAACCAGAGGACAAACCAGTTTTAGACCATATCAACAACCACCTAGAACTGAACCAAACTGGTTCGATAGACTGGTTCAGAGGCACAAAAACGATTATGGACAAACGCCAAACCGAACTTTTCATAAGAAAACAAGAGGCTTTTATGGTAAATGGAAACCTAAATACGTTGATACTTATGACAACCGAGTTTGCATGCAATGTGGAAAAATCGGTCGTCTCCGGTATCAATGTCACTCTCGACAAAAGACCTTAGAAAGATGTTTTGACTATGTTCGATATCCATCCTTAAACAAATACAAAATGGAACCCAAGCAAGTCTAGGTTCCACGGACTAACCCGGATTCAAGAACAACGCCAAGTGAGGGGGGACAATCACTGGTTCCTTGACAGTGGTTGTTCTAAGCACCTGACTAGAGACTCATCTTTATTCCTCTCACTTCGGCCATTTAGTGGTGGGAAGGTGCCATTTGAAGACAACGGCAAATGAGAAATTGTAGCCGTGGGAAAAATTGGAAAATCACCTAACCATTCAATTGATAATGTCTTTCTTGTCAAGGTTTTAAAATTTAACTTGTTAAGCATCTCTCAATTTCGTGACAGAGGTAACACTGTTATTTTTGATAAAGATAATTGTCAAATTGTTAATAATAATACTCAGCAAGTTATACTTGAAGGTAAAAGGTTTGGCAACACCTACAAAGTAGATCTTGATTTATTACCAAATGTGAGTTTGACTTGTTTGAGTGTTATTGACAATGATCCCCTACTATGGCATAAAAGGCTCGGACATGCTGTTTTTCTTTATTAAATAAATTGAAATCTCACGATTTGGTAATTGGGTTGCCTAATATGAAATATTTACTTGATCATATATGTCCTGCTTGTGCCACCGGAAAACAAGCATGAATTTCTTTTAAAACAAAATTTTGGTGAGCACAAGTAAACCAATTGAAATGACACACATGGATTTGTGTGGACCAATGTCTGTCCGTAGTCGGGGGTGGGGGGGGGGGGGGGTGGGGTGGGGGGGGAAGAAAAAAAAAGTTCTAGTAATTGTTGATGATTTCTTGAGATATACTTGGACTATCTTTCTTGCTAGTAAGAAAGATACTTTTAATGAGTTTGCTATTTTTGTAAGGATAGTTGAGCATCACACATGACCAGGGGCGGAGGGAGGGGTGGCCTGGCTGGGCCATGGCCCAGGGTAATTTTTTTGTACTATATATATAGTTTAATTTATTTTTAGGAATTGGCCCAGTGCAAAATTAAAACAGGCCCAATGTAGATACATTTGGCCCAGTGGAAAATAAGAGTCCATCTGATTGCCCAGGTCTGCCCAAAGACGGGTAACGCGCCGTGAGGAAAAGAAGCCCCTGCCCCCTGCGCACATGACGATCCTGCGCAGTGGCCGATGATGTTGATGCCCTCGCTCTTCCTTTGGGATGTCCTTTGCAGCTATATTTGCTCAGGTCTGTCTCCTGCTCATGTTAATTGCTCTGCTTAGCTTATAGTTATAAATGTGCATTCTTGTTAATTTAACAATCAACGTGGATAGAGCTATGGCTTGACTCTTGAGTGCTTCAAAGGAATTAAAGTTGTCTTATTCTCTCTTGGACTCCATTCTCGACACAAGTGACAGAACCAATTTGGCGTTTCTCCTCTCTTCAAGCTCACCGGTTTTGCTCATCTGTTCATCTTCAAGGTAAGAGTTTCTTTTTTCTTTTTTTTTCTTACAATTTTTAGATTAATTACCTATTTTATTTGTAAAATTAGTTTGTGTTAGTGACTTGGTGTAATTGTGTGCATTTAATTGTGAAATAGAAAATTGTGAATTTTTTAAAATTTTAATATGAATTATATGAATTAAAATAAAATATTGATTAGTTTTTTTATTTCTTTTTGGTAATTTTAGTAGGTATGGCTACTGTTGAGTTTAATCCAACACGATATAGTAAATATATGTATAAATGTGTATGAACAAGCTCTTTTTACGTGGAAACCCGAAAGGGAGAAAAACACGGGACTTTTTAGGCTAATGTCCAAGTCCTCTGTTTCTCATTAGGACCCTCCTCACCATTACATAGTACATTTTGAGATCCCATTAATGAAGTCTTGCAAGCTAACTAAGAAGGAGGGTGAAGAGGAAGGGGGATCCCTAATATGGAGGGAAACTCCCATATTTATAGGGAAAGGGGATGAGGAAGTACTCCACCCTAATGAGCCAAATGGGCCAATGTTGGGCTTGATGGCTAAAGTGGGCCGGATGGACCGAAATGGGCCTAGCTACTCGGGCCCCGTACTGGATAATGTCTTGGGCTCCTGAACAGTAATAGGTCGGGATAATATATCCCAACAGCTACTCAATCTACTTCCAAAAAGACAAAATCACATCGCGTTCGTTTTACAAGCCTAATACAAGCACACAAAGTAGACAAGAGTTAAATGTCTCAATTGAAACTCCTAATATCTCATCCGCTCAAGAGGAAGTAGTTCTTGATGCACTTGAAAAACGCAAAACGATAAGGGGATGGAATTAGATGATCTTATTTAATTGGTTGGAATTTAATTGTCGCTTTTACAATTTTTTTATAATGTTTTTAGTTTGCTTAAAAAAATGTTTTTAGTGTATAGTCGGCCCATGGTAAACATCCGAATTCGACAATATGCTCCTTGATACATTCTGCCAAGTACGAGGGATAGAACAGAACCTCTCTGCTCCAAGAACGCCTCAACAAAATGGGGTGGTAGAACAGAAGAATAGAACACTGGAGGATATGACTAGAACTATGATAATCTCTAGTGGTCTAGTAAAAAATTTCTAGCCAGAAGCTCTAAACACGGAGATTGCACCAATTCCGTGAGAAAGGGGGAACTAATCATGAAACCAATCAAAATGAGGAGATAGGAACAGGAACTGACGATAACGTGCTTAGAATTGAGGATGTACCCAGTCAATCCACTGTCAACCAAACTGAAGAACAGGCAGATCCAGTTCTAGACGACTCGCATACAATTGAAGACTTTTCAAATGCTCCTAGAGGATGGAAACTTCATCTATCACATCCTTTGGATAACCTCTTGACTGACCTAAATCAGGGAGTAACAACTAGATCTAAACTTAGAAACTTTTGTGCTTTTATTGCTTATTTATCACTTATAGAACCGGAGAACCATGAAATGGCTCTCTCCGACACTGACTGGATTCTAGCTATGCAGGAAGAACTAAATCAGTTTGAGAGAAATAAATTGTGGCATCTAGAACCAAGACCCAAGAACAAGAACATAATTGGTCACAAATGGGTATTCAAGAACAAGCTTGATGAACATGAACAAATTCGGATGGAACTTTGGTTGATCAAGGCATGAACTATTTTTCTTGGTTCCACTGTTCCGTAACATGTCTTGTTTATAATCTAGTTCTCTCTACCTCGTTGATCTTTGACTTTTCAGCTATTTATTGTTTTGTTGTTGACAAAAGGGGGAAGAACATGTGCCATATGTGTCCTATACTTGATACTTTATTGTGAAACTAACTTTAGGGCACCAAGTGTTTGTCATCAATAAAAAGGGGGAATTTGTTGGAACAGAATGTTTTGTTGATGACAAACAACTAGTGTTACTTTTGATCTATAAGTGATTGCAGGAAAGGAATTTAAGTTGTGCTTCGTTTTGTTGATGACTAACCACACAGGTGGAACGACGGACAGAACCACTCCCAGGTCCACATGGACAAATTATGTTTATACTGATCACTAACCATGCAGGTGGATAAAGTGATATAACTACGATGTGTTCTAATATGAACAATGGACAGAATTGTCCCGGATCCTACATAAGATATTCATGCCCATAATTAAATATGTGTCTGCATGGGCATACCTTGCTTTTTATGATATCTCATGTGTGTTAATATATTTTCATATTTGATTTGATATTTTGATTGAATGCATTAATACGTATAACTCATGGAAAGTGTTATTACTATCTTTATAATAGTGGACCGAAGCTTTTAAATTTGCTAGAGAAAGTGGTTGTCTTACTTTATGTAACACCCCCAAATTTCCCTCCCAAAATAATACTTAAGAAATAATAAACTTTATTAATTATTCAAAACTTTCAATTTGTTTGCAGCGGAATTAAACAATAACAAAGAAACGGGGTGTGTTACCGCCACATCCAGCCCTAAACCGACTGGATGCTAAGGCTATCCACCAAAAATGTATCTAAAGAAATATTCAATTCAACATTTGTAATAATAAAATCTAACAATGTTTATTCTAGATGTGACTACTCTAAAAGTCTTCTAGGAGCGCTCTCAAGGCATCAATCTTCATAAACCACATCATCTGTAACATAAGAAAATAAAAGAAACAAATAACACAAAAATTAGCTTTAGAGCTAAGTAAGTCCCACCCAACCCCGTAAAATAATAGGTTTGGTGAAAATAATATTTTGTATACCATATATACGAAAAAGTGGTCAAGAGATAAATTTCATGGTATACTTCTAAAAAAGATGATCCTCACTTTTATTAACTAAACTATTTTCTTCAATAGGTACTCTAGTAATGTCTTAAAATATAATTGTAGTAACTTCCTAATACATTTGAAGGGCGGTGCTCAACATTTTATTGAGCCCGATGGTCCGTTGTTATGTACGGCCACCCCGGGACTTTTGCCGGTACCACTTCTAATCCTGGGGAAACTGAACCTCTACCTTAAGTGTGCACACCCTCTAAAAGGGATTCCAAGCCCTCCGAGTAGTAAGAAGTCCAAGTAGTTCGGACGTCAACGTCCCCCTACTTCACCAAAAAGGGATTTCCCTATATAAGTGACTAGGTTACTGCTACTACTGAATAACAGGGTCTTTTGCCCGAATTTGAATTTCAATAAAACAACCACTTTAACCAATCTCCACAGTCAAGGTCGTGGACACCAAATCCCAACAAGTAATAGCAGTCCTAATCACTCTCCACAGTCAAGGTCGTGGAGGACACCGACATCCCGGATTTCTCCCGTGATGCCCTTACATTGAAAAGTTCATTTTATCTTTATTATTTTCCAAAAATTCAGGGATTACTACTCACGTAATTTCCCAAAGTTATTAACATTCAACAATGCATCACATATTCACAAATTGCTCAACAAATAGTCAAATAGTACAAATTTCATATTTCATACATACAATATATACGAGGTAAAAATGCATTTTTGGTTGCAATGTGACTTACCTCAAATTCCAGATATTCTTAACAAGCTTCTCTAACAGCTTCCTCTCCAAGTTCACCTTTTAATAATTATAATTTCCAAAGTCAATATTTATTCTAATTTAATTGTACTACCCTCCCTCCTTAATTAATATCCTTTTCTATTCGTTATATTTTAATTAATTGATTGGAATTATTTTGATTAGTCCATCGATAAGTTTATTTAATTCGGCCTTCTTATATTCTAGCCGGTCTACTTTATAATTCGTTAAGTCACTTTATCTAATCTGTTTGTGGTCGTTCACTTTTATTAATTAATTTTATTTCTAAACTTGTGCATTAACGTTACTGATTATCCTACATAGTTGTTAGTTATTATCTTAAGGCATTAATATTAATTAAATAGTCACCTCCAGGCCTCTCTTGTTTACTCACAAAAGTAATCGATTCCATCAATTATAGCTTTAACTTATCCAATTAAGACAATTCATATGCCGAATGAAGTATTAGCAATCGGTCCAGTTGTAACAACATATCAGTTTATTATCACCGGCTCTAATTAGTCCCGTATTATGTATGTCTAATGATAATCTATTTTATTTTTTATATTCATTGGTCTATAAATTTAATCCATGACTTTATTATAATCCAAATGATTCAGTTTGATTTAACGCGAATATAAGTTTGAATAATAATCATTCAATTCATTTAGTTTAATTAGAATAATGAATAATCCATTTTAACCTAATTATTCAATCATTATGTATAATAAATAATTGGTCCGTTAATTCCTTTCATTTTATTATCTTATATAAAGAAAATGACCATTCTAATGAATGGATAACATCAATCTGATCATTGTATTATTAAAATTCTCTTAGTCCAACTACTTTAGTCTATTCTAATCAGTCTATTATTATTAACAGTATTAAAATAGTCCGAATTAGTTTATTTAGGCGACTATAAGCGAAACAGTGATGTAGATTCAATATTAGTGCCGAATAAACTGCCTAGTTTATTTTACAAATGTCATCTCTTCGACTTTCTTATTAATAGGTCAGTTTATTTTAATGTAGACCCACAATTCAATTAGTACGTTTTAATTAATAATGTTCTATTTTAAACTAATCAGCCCATTGATAACCATTCAATTTAATTTATACCATTAGTTTTATTACTTAATGATCCATCCATTTTTGTTTTATTAGTATTGTTATTATTATTGTTCAAATGACATTTAAATCAATCTGGTTTAATTGAAAATAACAACCATTATGTTTTTAACCAATCAGTTTTATTACTTTTAACAATTAATAGCTACACGCCTACACTCCTATTAAAATCAACGTGTAAATGCTATTATGACTTATTATTTCAAGTGATACGTGTGTGATAACCTTGTTTTTATGATTAAACTTATCATCATTAACATTATTACTCTTATCATTACATGTTACGTATTATTATTATTTGTTCGTTTTCGTACAGTTCTTATATATATATAAGATTAAACAATCCAGTTTCTTATAGTGAATCAGTTCAGAACTTCAATGTTATTATTACTAGTTCCTACTCCGTTTTATGTTTTAACCAGTCCGGGCCGTATTAGATCAGATTAATTATAATCCACAAGCTAAGGAAATAATTTCACCGCCTTAAGAAAACGCGGGTGTGCGGGTTACCTCTATTGACGACGGTGCTTTGGTGACGCAGCGACGGGCGGTGGTCAGCAGGCGGTTGGCCCGGTAGAAATTTGCATCGTTCGTCTATCTCCGGCAAACTCCGGCACTCCACGGTCGGCTTCCTTCCCCTTCTTCCGAAGGTTGACGCTCTCGCTCTCGCTCTCACGCTTCTCTCTTTCTCACGAAGTTTCTATATTTTTTTTTTCTCTCTTTTTTTTTTTCTCTGCCTGCGGCGCAGGTCGTTTTTGAGGTTGTGTTGAATGTTGATCGATACGCTCATATTTATACCGGTAGGGTGAAGGTTCTAGGTCTCTATAGATAAGCTTTGGCGTACGAAGAATAAGCAGGTCGTTGGCAAATCATTCGTTCGTCATTCTTATCTCCTCGCATGCGTAGACTAGTACTTGTGTACGGAGTATTATTATTTGTATTAGGTAGAATGATTTATACTTCATATATGGTTAGTACGTATATTTATATTTTGAAAAGTCAAACTATCTTTATAATTATTCCAAGTTAATATGTATGTGCCGCAATACGTATATAGTACATACGTACATGTGTGTTTCTACTTAAAAAAAAATATTATTATTTCAACGATGTAACATTTTAAGTAATTATTTTATTTTATTTTAATTTTTGAAGTGTCACATTCTACCCTCCTTAAAAGATGTTTCGTCCCGAAACATAAACTAATATCTACTATCTATAATAAAAATTTCTAAGCGTTACATTCTACCCCCCTTAAAGAGGGGTTACGTCCCCGTAACTAAATTTTTTTACCTTGACTAAACAGCTCGGGATAACGTTTTCTCATGTCATCCTCGGTCTCCCATGTGGCATTTTCAGCCAAGTGATTTGACCACAGTACTTTGACCATTTTGATGGCCTTCCTCCGAGTTTCACGTGTCTTTGTGTCCAAAATCTTCACAGGCCTTTCCTCATACGTCAAGGTCTCGTCCAACTCAATCACCTAATGACACAATGGGTTATTTTAATGTCTATCAATCGCATCCTAGCTATTTTGAAAGTGAGGTTCTTACCTCCGGGTTTAAGATATGCGCCGCATCACGGATATACTTCTTCAGTTGAGATATATGGAAAACGTCGTGTACCTTGCACACATTAGAACGTCTCAGTTTGTTTACCAAATTTATGAATAACTTTTGAAAGAATGGATTTATTTCTTACTTTGCTCAATTCCGTGGGTAGAGCCAGTTTGTAAGCTACTCTCCCCACCTTCTCCAGAATCTCGTAAGGTCCGATGAATCGAGGACTCAGCTTGCCCTTCTTCCCAAATCTCATGACGCCTTTAGTGGGAGAGACTTTGAGGAGTACTTTCTCTCCTACCTCAAACTCAGCTGGTTTTCTTCCTAGGTCCGCATATGACTTTTGTCTATCTTGTGCTGCCTTCATTCTCGCCTGAATAAACTTGATCTTCTCCATCGTATCTTGCAAATATTGCGGCCCTAAGACAACCTGGTCCACCATATCACCCCAGCACAAAGGACTTCTACACTTTTGACCATATAGAGCCTCGTATGGAGCCATTTTAATGCTCGTATGATAGCTATTGTTATATGAGAACTCTATTAGGTCCAAGTGTTCATCCCATGACCCTTGTAGGTCCAGCACACATGCTCTCAGCATATCTTCGAGTGTCTGAATTGTTCTTTCCGTCTGACCGTCTGTCATCGGATGAAATGCTGTGCTTAGCTTTAGTGTGGTTCCCATAGCAGCTTGAAGTTCCCTCCAAAATTGGGATAGGAATCTAGAATCTCTATCAGATACAATATCTCGGGGTACACCGTGATACTTGACCACATGCTTGATGTAGGCTTTTGCCAGCTTATCCATGCTCCAAGTTTCATTCATGGGAATGAACCTAGCGGTCTTGGTCAATCTATCAACGATTACCCAAATCTTATCCTTCCCGGACTTTGTTAAAGGCAAACCCCCGACAAAGTCCATCGAGATTGAGTCCCACTTCCACGTTGGTACCTCTAAGGGTTGCACAAGTCCCTTGGGCTTGCATCTCTCGGCTTTCACTTTTTGACAGTTTAAGCATCGAGCCACAAACTCTGCCACTTCATTTTTCATTCTCGGCCACCAAAAGTTTTGCTTCAGATCCTTATACAATTTGTCTCCTCCCGGGTGTACCGAATAGGGCGTGTTGTGTCCTTCTTCCATGATTTGCTTTTTGATGTGCTCACATTTCATCGGGACACACCACCTTCCCTTATAGCGGATACTCTCGTCTTCGTGTAGATGAAATGGTCCGTTTACCCCATTCTTCATCCCGGCCTTGACTCGTTCAAGCTTCACATCTCCTGGTTGACCTGCTTTGATTTCATCGAAGATAGAGGGTAAAATGGTCATTGTGTATAACCAGATTTCACTCTCCACTTCACCGCACTCCTTCACCTCCAAGTCTAGTCGTTGGAATTCCCGATATAACTCTTCCGAAAGTATCCACATTGCTCTGCCGTGTTCCGTCTTCCTGCTTAAGGCATCTGCTACGACATTAGCTTTCCCTTCATGATATTGGATTTCAAGGTCATAGTCCTTGACAAGCTCTAGCCACCTCCTTTGTCGCATGTTAAGCTCTTTTTGGGTGAAGATGTACTTAAGGCTTTTGTGATCGGTGTATATCTTGCACGGTGGCCCGTACAAGTAGTGCCTCCATATCTTCAAAGCAAACACTACTGCTGCTAACTCCAGGTCGTGGGTTGGGTAGTTGACCTCATGCACCCTTAGTTGTCGGGATGCATAAGCTACTACCTTCCCATTCTGCATTAGCACACAGCCGAGTCCATTCTTGGATGCATCGCAATATATTTCAAACCCATCAGTTCCCGAAGGAAGTGTCAGTACTGGTGCAGTCGTCAGTCTTTTCTTCAGCTCCTCGAATGCTCTCTCACAATCATCCGTCCACTGGAACTTTGTGGTCTTCTTCATCAAATTGGTTAATGGTCTAGCTATCTTGGAGAAATCTTTGACAAATCTCCGATAGTAGCCCGCTAACCCAAGAAAACTCCGCACTTCAGTGACAGTGGTTGGTGCTCGCCACTCGGTTACCGCTTCAATCTTTGACGGGTCCACAGATACTCCCTCTCGAGTAATGATGTGACCCAGAAATGCCACTCGGTCTTTCCAAAAGTCACACTTGGAAAGTTTGGCATAAAGTTGATGCTCTCTTAAGGTTTGTAAAACAACCCTAAGATGTTCTTCATGATCCTTCTCATTCTTCGAGTACACCAAGATATCGTCAATGAATACCACCACAAATGTATCAAGATAGGGGCGAAATACACGATTCATTAGGTCCATGAACACCGCGGGTGCGTTGGTTAGACCAAACGGCATCACGGTGAACTCATAGTGCCCATATCTCGTACGAAATGCAGTCTTCGGTATATCCTTCTCCGCTATCCTCACTTGGTGGTAGCCAGATCGAAGGTCAATCTTGGAAAATATGCCCGCCCCCTTCAGTTGATCGAACAGGTCATCGATACGGGGCAAAGGGTATCGATTCTTGATAGTAACACGGTTCAGCTCTCGGTAGTCAATACACAGCCTCAAGCTACCGTCTTTCTTCTTGACAAAGAGAACCGGAGCGCCCCATGGTGAGACACTCGGCTTGATGTAGCCTTTTTCGAGTAGTTCCTCAAGTTGCTCTTTCAGTTCTTGCATCTCCTTCGGAGCCATCCGGTATGGTGCCTTGGAAATTGGTGTAGTACCCGGCATTAAGTCAATGGAGAACTCAACGTCCCTTTCCGGAGGCATCCCCGGAATCTCTTCCGGAAACACATCGGGAAATTCATTGACCACAGGGATCTGATCAATCGTTTGGTCTTCATTGTGGGTCTCCTTCATCATGCAAAGGTATGCTTCACATCCCTTCCGGATGTACCTCCTCATTTGCCGCATTGTCATCAACTTGATATCAGGTTTGTTTGTCACTGCCTTGAATGATACCCGCTTCCCACTCGGGCTCTTCATGATCACCTTGTGCTCGTTGCACAAGATCTTCGCCTTGTAACTCCCGAGCCAATCCATGCCCAACACCACTTCAATGTCTTCGAGGTCAAATTGGACCAAGTCTCCAGGTAGATTAACATTATCTATGACTATAGGTACATTCATGTATACATTTCTACAAGATACCACTCTATTATTTGCTGTTTTTACATTCAACTCTATGCTAGCTGCAGGTTTTATCTTTAACTTCTCAACAAATTTAGAAGAGATAAAACTGTGAGAAGCACCAGAATCAAACAGAACGTAAGCAGGAGTGTTATTAACATGAATTGTACCTGAAACCACGTCATGGGCCTTGGCTTGTGCCTTGTTCATCACGTATATGCGGCCCTGATTTCTTTGGTTGCCCCCGCCTTGGTTCTGATTCTGGTTCTGGTTCTGATTGCGGTTGGCATCACGGTCGCGATTGTTATTGTTGTGATTTCCCGGCTTATTCCCCTCTTGATTTCCACCTTGGTTTGCACCTCCTCGGTTAGGCCCTTGGTTTTGATGACTTGCCTTTTCTTTGTTTAGGCATTCAAATGCCCGATGTCCCCTCTTCCCGCAAATGAAACAGTTCACCACTTTTCCATCACAGTCAACACCAGGGTGATCTCGTTGGCACAACTTGCAATGGTAGTGTCTGTCTCTTGGCACATATCGTTGATCTTGCCTTGGACCATGCCCAGGGAATCTCCTTCCATCTTGTGGACGATCTTCCCTCCTCCCCGTGGGTTGTTGTTCCTGCTGATGAGTTTTGAGCCTCTTCTCCCTTGCCTTATTCTCCTCCTCGTTCTTCCGGATTTTCTTGTGGGCTTCTCGCTGGCGTTGTACTACCCGATAGTGCTTCGCAGCTTTGTAATATGCATCATCCAATGTTTGCCATTCTTGTACCGTCATCATCTTCTGTGTGTCGTAGTTCAGTCCTTCGATGAACTTCTCAATCTTGCTCTCCTCATCGGGTACAAGTGATGTTGCAAATTCTGCTAGGGTAACAAATTGACTGTGATATTCTTGCACCGTCATGTCCCCTTGCTTCAAGTGTAAGAACTTGTCACGATTTTCTGCTTGTACGTGTGGCGGGTAAAATCTCTTCCGCAGTGCACGCTTGAACCGATCCCAAGTGAAGTCCGGTTGTGCACTCATGCCTGGTCCCACATGAACCCACCATTTATCTGCTTCTTCATGCAGATAATAAACAGCAATGTTAATTCGTTGATCAGCCGGGCAATTGACCGCATCAAACAGCTTGTCGAAGGATCGTATCCAATTCTCGAGAAGGACTGGATCTTCTTGCCCAAGGAAGCTCGGCGGATTTCGTGCCGCTACACGACTTTCCATGTTATTGCCGTTGTTAGGTTGGTTTTGAAACGCCACAGTGATGGTCTGGGTGAGCAGCGTGAGAGCTTGCGCCAGCTCAGCATTGGTAGGGACGGCATTCGGGTCTCTCCTTGGTGGCATGGCGTCTCCATTAATAAATAACTTGAGTTAGTAAAGAAAACTCCTCTACTTTCCCTTGAGGATCCTAGAACTAAGGATTCCGTATACTACCAAGTTATATCCTACAATTACCATGTAGGTGTAAATATTCACAGGTAGGTTGCACATTTCATATCACAACACATTCAACACTTGGGGTTCCCATTTCACATGAGCCCACAATTCTCCACTTTTCACATAACATATATAACATAAAAGTAATACTCACAAAGTCCTCACCACGTTCCTAAAGGCCATTTTCTAACTATCTTATTTTCCCTAGTCAAAATATTTTGAAAATCCCCATTTGAAGGTATGATTCCCAAGGTTTTACTTAGGGATTTCGAACAACGAAGTTTCAGCACAAGGAGAAATTCCCAGTTAGTTGGACGAGCGCAAAGGCTCAATTATGCACCAACCAGCTCAGACTCTTATCGTCTCGTTGACAGAATTCCTCCCTACGACCTATTACCTCGTGTCCTAATCCTTTCGGAAAACCTAAGGTCTCTGATACCAACTTGTAACACCCCCAAATTTCCCTCCCAAAATAATACTTAAGAAATAATAAACTTTATTAATTATTCAAAACTTTCAATTTGTTTGCAGCGGAATTAAACAATAACAAAGAAACGGGGTGTGTTACCGCCACATCCAGCCCTAAACCGACTGGATGCTAAGGCTATCCACCAAAAATGTATCTAAAGAAATATTCAATTCAACATTTGTAATAATAAAATCTAACAATGTTTATTCTAGATGTGACTACTCTAAAAGTCTTCTAGGAGCGCTCTCAAGGCATCAATCTTCATAAACCACATCATCTGTAACATAAGAAAATAAAAGAAACAAATAACACAAAAATTAGCTTTAGAGCTAAGTAAGTCCCACCCAACCCCGTAAAATAATAGGTTTGGTGAAAATAATATTTTGTATACCATATATACGAAAAAGTGGTCAAGAGATAAATTTCATGGTATACTTCTAAAAAAGATGATCCTCACTTTTATTAACTAAACTATTTTCTTCAATAGGTACTCTAGTAATGTCTTAAAATATAATTGTAGTAACTTCCTAATACATTTGAAGGGCGGTGCTCAACATTTTATTGAGCCCGATGGTCCGTTGTTATGTACGGCCACCCCGGGACTTTTGCCGGTACCACTTCTAATCCTGGGGAAACTGAACCTCTACCTTAAGTGTGCACACCCTCTAAAAGGGATTCCAAGCCCTCCGAGTAGTAAGAAGTCCAAGTAGTTCGGACGTCAACGTCCCCCTACTTCACCAAAAAGGGATTTCCCTATATAAGTGACTAGGTTACTGCTACTACTGAATAACAGGGTCTTTTGCCCGAATTTGAATTTCAATAAAACAACCACTTTAACCAATCTCCACAGTCAAGGTCGTGGACACCAAATCCCAACAAGTAATAGCAGTCCTAATCACTCTCCACAGTCAAGGTCGTGGAGGACACCGACATCCCGGATTTCTCCCGTGATGCCCTTACATTGAAAAGTTCATTTTATCTTTATTATTTTCCAAAAATTCAGGGATTACTACTCACGTAATTTCCCAAAGTTATTAACATTCAACAATGCATCACATATTCACAAATTGCTCAACAAATAGTCAAATAGTACAAATTTCATATTTCATACATACAATATATACGAGGTAAAAATGCATTTTTGGTTGCAATGTGACTTACCTCAAATTCCAGATATTCTTAACAAGCTTCTCTAACAGCTTCCTCTCCAAGTTCACCTTTTAATAATTATAATTTCCAAAGTCAATATTTATTCTAATTTAATTGTACTACCCTCCCTCCTTAATTAATATCCTTTTCTATTCGTTATATTTTAATTAATTGATTGGAATTATTTTGATTAGTCCATCGATAAGTTTATTTAATTCGGCCTTCTTATATTCTAGCCGGTCTACTTTATAATTCGTTAAGTCACTTTATCTAATCTGTTTGTGGTCGTTCACTTTTATTAATTAATTTTATTTCTAAACTTGTGCATTAACGTTACTGATTATCCTACATAGTTGTTAGTTATTATCTTAAGGCATTAATATTAATTAAATAGTCACCTCCAGGCCTCTCTTGTTTACTCACAAAAGTAATCGATTCCATCAATTATAGCTTTAACTTATCCAATTAAGACAATTCATATGCCGAATGAAGTATTAGCAATCGGTCCAGTTGTAACAACATATCAGTTTATTATCACCGGCTCTAATTAGTCCCGTATTATGTATGTCTAATGATAATCTATTTTATTTTTTATATTCATTGGTCTATAAATTTAATCCATGACTTTATTATAATCCAAATGATTCAGTTTGATTTAACGCGAATATAAGTTTGAATAATAATCATTCAATTCATTTAGTTTAATTAGAATAATGAATAATCCATTTTAACCTAATTATTCAATCATTATGTATAATAAATAATTGGTCCGTTAATTCCTTTCATTTTATTATCTTATATAAAGAAAATGACCATTCTAATGAATGGATAACATCAATCTGATCATTGTATTATTAAAATTCTCTTAGTCCAACTACTTTAGTCTATTCTAATCAGTCTATTATTATTAACAGTATTAAAATAGTCCGAATTAGTTTATTTAGGCGACTATAAGCGAAACAGTGATGTAGATTCAATATTAGTGCCGAATAAACTGCCTAGTTTATTTTACAAATGTCATCTCTTCGACTTTCTTATTAATAGGTCAGTTTATTTTAATGTAGACCCACAATTCAATTAGTACGTTTTAATTAATAATGTTCTATTTTAAACTAATCAGCCCATTGATAACCATTCAATTTAATTTATACCATTAGTTTTATTACTTAATGATCCATCCATTTTTGTTTTATTAGTATTGTTATTATTATTGTTCAAATGACATTTAAATCAATCTGGTTTAATTGAAAATAACAACCATTATGTTTTTAACCAATCAGTTTTATTACTTTTAACAATTAATAGCTACACGCCTACACTCCTATTAAAATCAACGTGTAAATGCTATTATGACTTATTATTTCAAGTGATACGTGTGTGATAACCTTGTTTTTATGATTAAACTTATCATCATTAACATTATTACTCTTATCATTACATGTTACGTATTATTATTATTTGTTCGTTTTCGTACAGTTCTTATATATATATAAGATTAAACAATCCAGTTTCTTATAGTGAATCAGTTCAGAACTTCAATGTTATTATTACTAGTTCCTACTCCGTTTTATGTTTTAACCAGTCCGGGCCGTATTAGATCAGATTAATTATAATCCACAAGCTAAGGAAATAATTTCACCGCCTTAAGAAAACGCGGGTGTGCGGGTTACCTCTATTGACGACGGTGCTTTGGTGACGCAGCGACGGGCGGTGGTCAGCAGGCGGTTGGCCCGGTAGAAATTTGCATCGTTCGTCTATCTCCGGCAAACTCCGGCACTCCACGGTCGGCTTCCTTCCCCTTCTTCCGAAGGTTGACGCTCTCGCTCTCGCTCTCACGCTTCTCTCTTTCTCACGAAGTTTCTATATTTTTTTTTTCTCTCTTTTTTTTTTTCTCTGCCTGCGGCGCAGGTCGTTTTTGAGGTTGTGTTGAATGTTGATCGATACGCTCATATTTATACCGGTAGGGTGAAGGTTCTAGGTCTCTATAGATAAGCTTTGGCGTACGAAGAATAAGCAGGTCGTTGGCAAATCATTCGTTCGTCATTCTTATCTCCTCGCATGCGTAGACTAGTACTTGTGTACGGAGTATTATTATTTGTATTAGGTAGAATGATTTATACTTCATATATGGTTAGTACGTATATTTATATTTTGAAAAGTCAAACTATCTTTATAATTATTCCAAGTTAATATGTATGTGCCGCAATACGTATATAGTACATACGTACATGTGTGTTTCTACTTAAAAAAAAATATTATTATTTCAACGATGTAACATTTTAAGTAATTATTTTATTTTATTTTAATTTTTGAAGTGTCACACTTTAAATATTAAATAGACATTTTTTAAGCATACGTGACATAAATGCTCTTGCTTTATGAAAGTTGATTGTGTGACTCATACACTTGAGAAAGTAAATATTTTCTTACCATAAAGCTATCCTTGATTAAAATATTTTAAATGGGATATTGGCTGTCATATCTTGTCTGTTGCATGCCCATGTATGGTAGGTAAATTATTCCCTTGTTCATGCAAATAAGAGATCGTTGATTCAACTCAAGATGGAAGGCATTTTCAAAATGAAACAAGGCAAGAATCCTTATTGATCTACTCATCAAGGAAAGGAAAGCTCCAACGGACTCATTTCAAACAGCCTATATATTCGAGCAAGCCAAATGAAAAAGGCGTGCTTGACTGAGAAAAATACTAAGAGACGTATACGAGACAAATCCCAAGTCAAGGCATCTGAACCTGCGCTCGGAGCTCTAGATACAGTTTCTTATTCCCTTCTTATATTGTAATTGGGTTATTGAGGACTAGCTAAGTGTAGCTCCTCGGGTTGGGTGAAGTGTGTGGTGAGAGCTTTGTTGTAAAGCTGAGAGGCTCTTTACCCGAAAGGTAGAGAAGCGTAACTCTTCCTAGAGAGGATAGAGTTGGGGTGACTCAAGGGTAGACTATGAGAGTTTTTCTTGCAATCATCCAAAGGTTTTTTAGTGGAGTTGTTAAAATTTCTCCGAGGGAGGTCGAGGTTTTTTAATCCTTTTGAGCCAAGAGATTTTTCCTCGTTAAATCCTTGTGCACTTTACTATTTCGCAATTCCCTATACCCCGCACTAGAACTTGGCAAAAAATTGCCACAGTTCCACACACACACACAATTCACCCCCCCCCCCCCCCCCCCCTCTTTGCTAACCGTTTCATCACATAAAACCCAAAAGTATTCTTAACCAATAAGAAAATCCAACATGTTGTTCTAGCAATGATGTACTGAGTATATCTTTAAATGGATAAATTGCTAGATCTGAAGTATAAAGCTCAAGAAAATTGAATAACTAACCTTAGTGTCAATGGATGAATATGAAATATGTTAATGAACTCTAGTCATGTGCGTCCAACTTCTGGGCTTCCCTCATAAGCTAGACAACCGGACATTGTCGGTCTTATCTTATTTTGTGTTACTAGACAGAGATGTGAGGCTAGCAACGATGGTGGCTAGCAGTGGCTATGGGACTGAACAAATGAGGAGCAACATAAACCTTCCAATAGCATGATGTAGGTTGAATCATAAAAGATTTACACTACACGCTAACATGTGAAACTGGATGATAATGAAGAAGCTAGTTTGAACTAAGCTAGCAACGATGGAGGTTAAGAATTGAGAGAGAGACCGAGAGAGCTGAATGTAATAGCATTTCATTGTGATATTCATCCTTTACAGTTTATTACAGTATTTATATGTACTAGTGGTAACGGAAATCACTCTACATAATTGCAATACTTTGGGAACTTCATTGATTAAGCCATTCACCCGCACAATTCCGCGTAATTCATTTAGACCTATTTCGGTCTTTTCTATTTTCCGCCTAATTATTTTCGCCTATTTCATTCTAGCCTCATCCGCTCCTCAGTAGCCAGTTCTCATCTCTCAATTCCTCACATGAACAAATAGATTGTTGAAGTAGGCAACGACCCTGCATTCAGAAGTAGCAGAGGAAGACAAGCAATGGCTGCATAAAATCATTTTCCCGCTCACTTTTCAGCCGTACGATGCACTTATCTGATATCATCCCACTTCCGTGAGTTCCGTCCCCTTCTTTGTTTGATCATCTCAGTCTTCTCTATTCAGATTTCATTCAATCTATTCCCACCTCTCTCCGTTAGAAATCACTTTAGCCCAGACACATTCACCAAAATTACTCCCCACCCAGAAATCTCACTTCTCTCTCGAAACTAAGTCGTAATTTCTCCTGAGTTTTCTGAATTTCAAGGTGAAGGATTTAATTTGGAGTTTAAATAGGAGCGGTGTTCGCTTGAATTCTGTGTTGCTGAAAGGGGCGATTTGTGGTCTTACTCTTAGGGTTCAAGTGTTCAACTACTTTCCCGTAATCAGTTAATTGGCTTCATTGAGGTAACTTGATTCATCCCTTCAGTATGCCAAATCATTGGAATTACCTATCAATCTCTAATTTTTGTTATCGATCAATTTGGATCTTTTATTATTTGGCTTTTGATATTTAGATCCAAAATATGATGTTGTTAACATCACTTTTGCTAAAGTGACATTTGGATGGCAAATACATTGAATATGTTTATATTTGAGGGAAGTTTTATAAAACTGCACGACCGAAAATAGGGAAAGATTTTTTTCATTTGATGTATTGCCAAACCGCATGCTACATAGCTATACTTCCGCTCCAAGAAATATAACGCGTAACAAGTTTTAATTCCTGAATGTTTACATTATTACATGCATTAGATCTGTTAACATGGATGTACTGTACTTCCATAATGTATTTTGATCATTAACTTCGTTTAAGTTAATCTAATTTTTTTATTATTTAATTTTGTATTTTTCTCTCAAAATAAAGTTTTCCCCATTGATTAGTTTAGGTTCAACATTCTTTTACTTTGCAGATTGCATTCATCTCAGTGTCTTTTTGTTCATTCTGATGCTCACTGAGGCACTGAGTTTTTTACCTTTAATTTGTAGGAGACCAAAGTTGGTTTCCTCAAGACACATGTTTTGATGGTGTTATTGTTAGAATATTAGTTTCCCCTTCACCTGAGATGTTAGTCATAATGTTTGTTTAAAATGCATCAGTCCTTTATTTTTTTGTCTAAAAGGGTTCTATTTTTTTAGTGAACCCATTTTCTGCAAAAATAAATTTCACATTTCATTAAAACTAAATTTCTACCTTTATAGTAGCATCAAAAGTCTTCATTATATTTTATAGACTTTTATAGGGTTTGGTTGATTATAATTCCACTTCAGTTCGATTACCTCTTATTTGTTGGATACTTGGATGATGGGTAATGATAGCCTAGCTAAAGCATATTAGGTATACATGTCAATCAAATTAATCAAGTATTTTGGAATTAAAACATGAATAAAAACAAAACGGATTAGTAACCAATGATTGATTTACATAGAGAGCATATTAGGTACTTGAAAGTTAAATCCATCTAAATAATAGTACGTAGTAGTATTTTATGGAAATTCATTTTCCCGCTCAAGGACCAAACATATTTCAGCCGCACGATCCAAAAACAGATCTATGGCTTTGAGGAAAAGATCTTTCATTCCTTCTCACCGCAAACCATCATTCCTTCACTCTGTTTCTCCAAACCAGAGAGAGCACAGTTGGCAACCTTTCTATTATCCATCATCTCATAATTTATAATTCGCTCATCAACATTTTGCCAATCAAAATCCATATGTGTTGAGAAGCACAGATAAAAATCCCCTTCATTTCGATTTTGAAATTTTGGTTTTAATTCCTGTTTTTGTTTTCTTTGAATTTATTAATCTCATTTCTAAATTTTCATTAGAGCTCACTTTTTTCTCTGTCTTTGGTGGTTGATTTGTGCGGGATTTTTTTTTCATTCAAACACTTTAGAGTTGTACCGACTAAAAGGGTATCTTCATCTAAACACAAAAAGTTGTACAAAAATTTCTACCTTTTAAGGGGTTTCCCTACCAAATTTTCTTTTAGTTTTGCAAATGTTATTCATCTTACTTTTTTTGATCATTCCAAAAGAGGTGTAAAATTCTTTTGGGCTGAAAATATTTGACTGTTATTACTCAAATATATTAAACTGTAGTGATAATTGCTTGAGACACACATTAAATGCATACAATGTATATGATATTGTTAATTTTTGGATTTTGCTTTTGCAGATTTCATTCTCCTGGGAAGCTGCTTTATACCGCATGTCCACATGTCATTTTTTAACTTCCCGTTTCGCATGCTACATCAATAACACAAAAAGTGAGAGCTGATTCACAATTTATTTGATTAAAATCCAGTGCATGTGCATGGGAAACTTGCGTATTTTCATTCGCCCCTTACCTGAGATGTTGTTAGTCATAATGTTTGTTTAAGATGCATACATTCTTGCTCATATTTTCCAATGACATTCAAGTTTGATAGTTAAACTTACAGGTTGATATTGGGAGAAGTTTGATGCTTTACAGGGCCGGCCCGTACATATTAAGGGCCCTGTTCAAAATGTAATTGGAGGCCCTAAATCATAAAATGTACAGAGTAAAATTAAAACAAGCATTAAGAAAGGTGTGAGAATAATTTGTGGTAAACTTATATTATTTTATTTTCCTAACAAACGAAACATCATACCTCCCAAAAACATATTTGCCGTGCTTATTAAAAAGAGTAGGGCTACTCGAGAAGATTAAAGACGTGAAAACAGAGTATACCAAACATATTGTAACACCCCAGCCCCGTGGGACCCGAGGTAGTTACTCCAGACCTCTAGTATTGTCCCCACAAACCACCACGAGCATTTACCGCGTACTTTGTCCTCACTCATGCGCGCCCTGAGAAACTTCCCAGGGGGTCACCCATCCCAAGACTACTCCCGTGCAAGCACGCTTAACTTTGGAGTTCTTGGGTGATGAGCTC